CTTTGATCAAACACAACTGAAATATGCGGTTTCACCCGCTGCACCACACAGTGGGTTCTATGGTACTTTCAGGGGAGTTAAGCTTTACTGCCACTAAAAGACCCCTCCCAAAGCAACGAGAGCTTTTAAACCTGGGGATGGGCATGACTCCAGGAGTGCCAAGGGCCACAGGGAGAGAACTCGGTTTACGTGGTTCCCTGCGGCATCTCCAAGGCCAAGTTTGCTGAATCAATGGATGAAGTGACATGTCACAAGCCCTCAGAGCTGGGTCACCCTGCAGTGGGTCGTCACTGCTCACCCAACTTCCAATAAGAACAGACCAGGACCCTGCGGAGGGCAGAGCAACCCAGCAGACACCCCGCTCCAGGCCTGGGTGCCCACGGCTCGCAGGGCCACCTGCACCCCGACTCAGCGGCTTTGACCAGGAAGATTCTGGAGGAGCCCTCAACTCTTCTACAATCCCAGTGCAATAACAAGAGCACAGCCCTGAGCTCAAAGAAGGTGATGAAGCCACATTGTCGTGAGGTTCCCGGGAGCCACAGAAACCCAGCTGCCCGGTCCGAACCCCCACCTGCTTCCCCACTCCCCAGACAGGCGCTCCTGCGAAGGCTGGGGTGACGTCACTGCTCCACTCCGAACCCTGCACAGACTTCCAACTGCACTCAAAGTCAAAGCCAAAGCCAGTCCTGGTCTGCAGGACCCACAGCTCTGACCATCAGCCACCGGTTCTGTCCTTCCTGCCTCCTCCTCACCCCTTACCCCCTGCTCCAACCATGCTGGCTGCTTTGAGGTCCCCAATACCCGGCACCCGCCCTTCTCTGAGGCTTTGCTCCTTCCTCTGCCCGGAATGCCCCTTTCCTGGGACCTTTCCTCAAAGTCCCTGGCTCAGTGTGACCTTCTGGGCCTCCATTCTAGCCCATCTCTGACCCCCTTCCCGCATTTGCCTTCTCCTTGGCGTTGACCGCAAATGAATGTACTATTTATCTGGTTTATTACATCTGTGTCTCTTATCCTCGCAAGGCTCAAAACTGTGTAGAATTTGATGGTGGTGCTAACGCCTTCCTGGTTGTCCTGGGTAGAAGGGACCCCTCCTCATAAACATAGCTGAGGTCATTCTCCCAAAGTGGTGACTTCAAACAAATAAGAGGGAAACGGAGCAGAGAGAGTAACCGTAAAGATAAATATGAGCGGGCTCGTATCTGAATCGTCAGAAGGGCCCTGTGCAGCCAGTGACAAATGCACTTAGTCTACGGGGAAAAAAAAAAAAATAGAAGAACTTGAAGTCCAAACAGGAATCACAGAGAGCCGGGCGTAGTACACACACCTGTAATCCCAGCGACTCGAGAGGCTGAGGCAGGAGGATCTTGGGGTCAAAGCCAGCCCCAGCAACTTAGTGAGGCTCTGTCTAAAAGATAAAAAGAGCTGGGATGTGGCTCAGTGGTTAACTGTCCCTGGGTTCAATACCTGGTACAAAAAAAAAAAAGAACAGGAAAAGAAAAAAAAACAACCAGGAAACTCGAATACGCCGGCCAAGGAGTCAGGGCCCCCTCAATTTCATGGACACTCCAGGATGAAAACATTCTACAAGAATTGAAATAAATCACTGGCAGGCAGACAGCTACCTGGTGGCTGCTGAGAGGGCTTGGAAGTGGCTGTGGGTGTCCCACGGAGTGGGGGCACCGAGTCTTTTCCAGCCCAGAGCTGCTTCTTTTTCACTTAGTGGGATCTGATGACGGCAGGAAAGGCTGAGATAACCTGCCAGGAGGACAAACATCCTTCCCCAAGTCCCCTATTGTCAGTAAGCCGCCCGCCCGGTTTGTGGTAATTTGTTAGAGAGGCCACAGGAAGCCTGCACATGCGTGTGCGAGAACACACACACACACACACACACACACAGTCTTGGGCTTCTGTTGTAAGCCCTATCTCCCCGCTTTGCTCATCTCTGCTGCACCCCCAGAGGCCCAGGGCTGGGCCAACACTCGCCAGACCCTGTGGACAGGCTTGGGAGTGGAGTCTCTTGGGGACTGTCAAGGGCATGACGGGCCTGGGCAGCCTCCAGGGCGAGGAGTGGGAAGGACAGGGGGGCTTGCAGAATGGGGGAGCATTCCAAAGCTACCTGAAGGACGAGTTCCGAGCCAGGAACAGGGCTGCAGGCCACACACTGCGAGTGCAGATATGAGGGTTTTCACCCACCTCCCAAACACGCCCTGGAGTCCCCAGCCTGGCACTGGGCCCACACAGAGTGCCCCTCAGCCACAGGCCCAGGGCTCTCATCAGCCACCTGCCTGACACTGGACCAAAGGCTGGAAAAGCCACAGTAGCCACAGACAGTCCACAGCCCCTTCCATTCCTCCTCCTCCCAGGAGTGCCTGCTAAAATCATGTCAAGTCAAAGACCCTGGGGACTGGTCAGGGACAGTGGGTGGGTCTGAGCTTTGTGAAAGCTTTGGTGAATTCCAGGAGGCCACAGAAAATTAAAAAGAAATGTAGCAGGAAGGACCTAGCAAGCGCCTTCCCCTTGGAGACCCTAATGGCCCAGTCTCCAACCTCTGGATAATCCTCTTGTGGGTGAGGATTGCTGTTTTCCGCTTAGGAACTTTCGAACTCTGAAACGTCTGTGTTCCTTTAAGAAAATCCTCTTTTGGATCAGCTTTGTAGCCTGGGACTCTCTACCACTCACAAATGTCGCCAGATCGCTTCACTCAAGGCCGTTATGGAAACTGGGTTGTCACCCCCCTCTTCCTGGACAGGTCAGCTGTTTGGAGGGACACTGATATGTCCTCTTTGGGGACCTCTCCCCTCCAGATTCACTCCCACCAGAACCCAGACAGGGAGGGCTCTCAGGGGAAGCCACCTGCCCAACAGCAACGCAGTTCAAAGTGCCAGCCCTGCCCAGTGCTCCTGGGCGACCCTCAAGCTCACTATTCACACCTGTCCCCAGCCCACTCAGCTGTTTCTCTTGTAAATTCCCAACTCCCACAACACTTGGTCCTTTGTCCCCAAGGCCATGGAACTTCGAAACACTCCTGGCCCTGGGGATTGTCCCAAAGTCCACTCACTGGCCCCAGATGCACTCTGGCAAGAAGCCGGAATTCCAAATTGCCCACCATGACAGCAAGCGGAAGGCTCATTAGAAAGCAGCCCCAGTAATGGGTCAGATCATTATGAGCTGCAGGGAGCCCTCGTGATCATCCTGCCAGGTCCATGACTGACCCTAGTATGAATAGCACTGGGAAGTTGCAGGGCCCTGTGGGTCCGGTTTGGGTGAGCCTGCTACCAACTTAAGACACATTTGCAATTGGCCCCAGGCTTATTTCCTGGAAGAGGGTGTCCCTTTCCAAGGCAGGTGGGGCCGAGGCTTCCAGTGCAGGAACTGGCGGGCCCCACCTGCACGTTATACCCCCTCCCATGCCATGGCCTTCCTTCATGTAGGATTGTTTATAGTCAGTCAAGTTTTTTCAGGTCGACCAAGAACTCCCCAAGCCTACTGCAGTCAGTTACAAGCCTCAGGACTTGGGCCAGCTGGAAGATTCAGAAGCCTCTGTGGGTTGCAGACAGCTAAGGAATGACAATCACATACAATTGTCCCAAACAATCCCCTCCCCAGTCTGCCCTCCCATGGATCCCCCTTCGGCCAAGGGCTCAGGCAGGAGCCCTGCCCTGGGGCATCCAGGGAAGGAAGTGAAACTGCTGAGAGCAACCCTTCCTTCCTCTTACTCGCACGTCCAAGGGTTAAAAACACTTCCGAACTCTCCTTCCAACGGCAAGGTCAAGCAGCTGTCCAAGCCACCCAAGGAGAAGAGGGAGTCGTGGACAGCTGGCCCCCCACTAGCTTGGTGGTGACAGGCCCTGGCAGCCTGGCTAAGGAAGAGTTAATCGGCAATCAGCTTTGGCTGATAGTTCAGACTCCGAAGTTCAGTCCCAGTCCGAGCCACCCCGGAGGGATTGTAAATCTCAGGGCAGTATTTAACAAAACAAAAGCAACCTGGAATTACATGCAGGTTTGGTTTTCTACAGTACATATTTACTTAATCCCCAAGGTATGTGGCTCCGTGTCAGATCAGCTGGCTTTGCTGGCCCTCTCGCCCCCTGGTTCACAACAGTTTAAGTTTCAAACTAATTCCCTGTTTTCGCTCTTCCTCTTCACAGGGCTGGCTGGAGACGGCCTGGCCTGCCGGCCTCAAATCCCTCTCTCGATTGCTCTTGTCACTGGGTGAGTCAGCCCAGCTGAGTTGGGACTGGGGTGACAGCGGCTCACCCTCCCCACTTCTGCAGCACCAGGTCTCCAAAAACGGAAACAGGAGGTGCTGGGACCCCCAAAATATTAAAGGCAGTGCCCAGCGAGCAGGACCCTCCCCTCGGTGCCACCTCCCCAAGGCTGTGTTGGGGGAGGGGGCAGGGTCGAAGGTGAGAACAAGGGCTCTTTATCAGCTGCTGGTTACCCCCTCCTCCTCTGTCCTAATTTCCACCTGGGCCTTCTAGTGCCTGTGCTGCCAAGACCCTCTCCTTCCTTTTCAAGCCCAAACCAAATACCCCCTCTCCAGTGTCATTAGAGCTGCAGTCCAGTCCGCCAGGTTGGGGCTGGGAAGGGGGTTGCCAAGGAAAACACTGAGCCAACTAGCAGGCGGCTCCCCGCTCTACCAGGGAGCGCGCACACCCTGAACTCAGCGGGTGGTGGCACTAGGGGGGAAGGCAAAGGGGGGTCACAACACGTGGAGAATGGGTGGGTCTCCTAAGTTTCGGGATGGGGGCAAACAGCCAGCCACCGATCCCCCAGGAGCCGACGAGCTCGGGACCTGCCAAAATAGACAGTCTGGTGCCGGGAAATCCACAAGGTGAAACCGAGGAGCTCAGCGCTTGCGTGTGGCGCAGGGGAGTGGGGTGGCCAGAGACACTCAGCTCCCGGGCGAGGGATCGGGCGGCCGCAGCAGGTGGGGGCACCCCGCGCCAAGGGCCGCTGGCCCTCAGCGCCCACTCCCGGGAGTCGCGGTGCCCACGTACCTTTCTGACGCCGCGCTCTGCAAACTCGCGAGCCAGCTGGCGCCCAATGCCTCTGCCGCCGCCGGTGATGAGGACGTTCTCCCGCGACAGGTCCCGCAGCTTGGCGGGCAGCACCAGTCCGACGGCTGCTTTCGCCACTAGATAGATCATCTGCAGAGGGAACACCACCAAGGCGCCCAGCCATTTCCACACCATCCTCCGCGCCGCGGAGCCGGGCAGGGGGCGAAACTCCCCGGACTGAACAAAACAGGAATTAAAAAAGAAAACACCCCAAAACAATAATAAATAAACCGAATACAAAAGAGAGGCGTCCCACCTGGTCACTCTTGAAATGACCTTTCCACAAATGCAAAGCACCGGCTGAGAAAAGTTGGTGGTGGGGGGGGACTTAAAAAAAAAAAAAAAAAAAGATGAATCCTCGGGAGGAGAAAAAGCGTCTTATAAGGTTGGGACCGTGGAGGGGTGGAGGGGAAGCCGGAGGTGGGAAGTTCTAACAAGAAGTTTCTTGCCCTAGCAGCCGTGCCGGCTGGGGAATTCTCAGGTAATGTTTACAGACTGACAGAGGAGTTTAGGCAGGGAAAGAAAAAAAAAAAAAAAAAAAAAAAAGGCACCAACCACCCGCGCGCACCCTGCCACAGTCCCGCGGTTTCAAAGTGCAAGATTAAAAAAAAAAAAAAGCCGTTTCCAAATTGTAGCGCGCCCCCTTCTCCAGGAAAAAAAAAAAAGTGGGGGAAAAGTGCTTGGAGCTCCCAATTTCAGCCTGCGAAAGTCTCCCGACTCATTGCTATTCTTGGGCTCAGGAAATTGCTTAAACGCGATCTGATTGCCAGCAACGTGCAGGAGAAGTGGGGGGTCCGGGTGTCAGTTTCTTTACGTGCAGGGCTCGCCCTCGCGCGCGCTCGCTCGCTCTCTCCGGCTCCCTCCCTCTCTTCCAGCAGAGGCTGGGAGTTGCCGCTCAATCCGGTTCCCTCTCTCTTCCTTTTAGATTTATTGCCTTCTTTTTGTCCTTTCCAACTTGGAGAGGGCCCGGGCGTGGAGCGCGCGTGGATCGGATGAGTGGATCGTCTGCGCGGCGTTATTCATTCGCTCCTGGGGCAGCTGCGGCGCGGAGCAAGAGGGCGGCCCTCCCCACCCCCCATTTTTTTTAATACCCCATTAAGTCTGATTGACAGTTAAAGTTGTTCCGAGGCTTCACTACCGTTCCTCTGAGTGGCTGCAGCGACCTCCCCTCCCCCTGCGCCGTCGCGGGGCGCGCGCCTGGGCGCGCACACGGGCTCGCAGCGACTCGCTCACTCCTGGGACCGGCTCCTGTCTCTGCAAGCCGGGACTTGCCGCCGGTGTCCCTGAGGGCTCGCAGCTGGAACTCAAACACGCTGGAACCGACTCCAGCGAGCCGGCTCCTCCCAGAGACATTCTTCTTGGCCCCGGCCAGGTGACCACCCCAGCGTGCGGGGCAGGCTCCGGGGAGCTCGCGCATGCCTCGATCCAACCAGGTCGCCTAGAGTTTATTTCAGGTCACTTGGTCATCCCCTGCCTCCAGGTACAACCAGGAAGCCACGCCCCATCTTTGCCCAGACGCCCTCTATCTTTACAGAGTGTGCTTTCTAAGTCTGATCCAAGTCTCACACGTTGCTTGAGCTGGTGGGGGGACCCACTGGGAAGCAGGGTTTTGTTTTGGGGGGTGGGGGTGGGCAGAGTAAAGGAACCTCCGCCCCAGGTGCCAATAAAATCCCCATAAGATTAGCTGGGAGCATATTTATTGCTCATCGGGGCTAGAATTACCTTGATTGACAGCAATTTCCTTAATAACAAAAGACTGTAAACAAAACATCTTAAACCCGAATTTTGGGCTGCTCAAGGAGCAGCTCCTCTCTTTGGGTCGTCTTTGGGGTGTCTGGCACCCACCTTGCCATCTTCTGCCTTTCCCAGCAAGAAGGTCTCCTTGCTGGAGGGTGGGACTGAGCTATTTAGAGTTGTCTGTTGGAGGAAGTCTGGGAGGTGAGTCACCCGAAAAAGCAGCCCCAGTTAAAAGTGCTGATGGGACTTGCCTCCCGCCCCCTCTCGATGTCCCTGGGCTGAGGAGGGAGAGTGAGCCAGGGAGCTTCCCTGTAATCTGGGGCAGCCTTTTCCAGTCTGAGACTTGTTCAGACTGGGAGGCCTGGGCCTCAGCTCCAGAGGCTCTGATTCAGCAGGTCTGGGTGCACGGGAGAAGGTTGTTTGGATGGATGCTCTGTGTGGGTGAGAAAGTCACTTTGAGAAATGCTGATTTGGGGAGGAGAGGACTGGGGACCACCTTCTCACCAGCAAAGGCACTGTGGTTCTGGGGAGAAGTTTGGCAGGTGAAGATCTTCCTTCCTTTGGGGTGAATGGGAACTGCTGGAAGAGCAAAAGGGAGCGAGCGGAAGGTCAGAACTCAACGCCTTACACCGAGGGCCTGTGTCCTCACATGTAATCCTCCCACTGACCTTACAGCAGTGGCACCCACAGCCCATTTTCCAGGTTACCCAGCCAGGAAGTGCAGCAGGGAGGGATCCAAATCCAGACTTCATTCCTCTCCCCACCCCACTCCACTCTGGCAAGAGGGAAGGGGGAGGTGGAGGACCAGGCTCCCAGGCTCCAAGGGCTGCTTCCACCCCACCCTCCAAGAGGATGGCCCAGGGCGGCCCACTGTCTTCCTCGACTCCCAGCACCCCACTAAAGGCGGGAATGCAGTCTGGGGACTCCTTTTTTCCATCTTTGAAGTTATAAAACTGGGACAGAAATTCCAGCCTGGCAGAGACAGACCCACCAGGCCTCTGAAGAGGACTCAAAGCTGGGTACCCCCCAGACTGTGCCTGACTCTGTGCTCATCTGTTATCCTTGGAGCCGCCTAGTGGCCAGTGTCAGACACTACACATCCAAGCTGCCCAAGCTTTCAGCTGACCGCAGTCCTTCTTCGGTCCAACTGTGCTTTTATTCCCTCCACGTAAAGTTAACACCTTGAGTCTAAAAGGACTTGCAAAGATCTTAGTCCCCTTCACCTTTTCATGGCAGAAAACACCAAAGCACGGAGGTATCATCCAGCAACAAGCATGGTTACCCCAAGCAGTTACCTTGCGCTGTCTGATGCTGGACCATCTGGGTGACCACTAGGTCCCACTTATATCTCTTGGGCGTGTGATTGGGATGGAGGGTGGCCATGGGGGGAAGGAGAACCCAAATGGACTTGCACATGGGCCCTGCACACATTTTCTCATTTAATTCCCCTAGCAGCCTGGGGAGAATGGCAGACCCCAGGGACAGCCAGAGGTAGGTGGTGGCTCTGTTTCTGCTAGGGTCACCTTCAGGATGTGGAGTGTGGTTTGGCATTCCTGTGAGCCTCAGACTCCCCCAGCATCAGCTGCCAGGGAGGAGCATTGGGGCTAGAATTACCTTGACGGACAGCCATTTCCTTAATAAGAACGACTGTAAACACCCCACAAATCCCAGGGAAGACGGGGCACAGGGGCACCAGGCTGGAGGTGTGCAGGGTCAGCAGGCCAGGCCTAAAGGTCCTTGTGGTTTCAGTGAGAACTGCACGGGACACATCCTTCCCAGCCAGTCCCCTCATCCTCCACCGGTGTTTACCCCTCCTCTCTCAGTTTCCTCCGGGCGGGAGGTACAGAATCTCACTCCAGGGTGAAGTTTGGAATTTCACGTCCAGGCCTGGGAGGAGGGCCCCACACTGTCTGCGCTCCCCTCCAGACAATGTGAAAGGGGCCTTTGTGGGCTTGGTGGGAGAGGTGAGCTGCAGCCTGGAGTGCTAACTTTTTCCATGACTCAGTCCTGCCAGCCAGGGAGGTGTGAGGCCAGACAGGGAGGCTGGAGCTGTGGCTGAGCTGCCTCCCGTCCTTGGTGAGCGGAGGGAGCACTGAGAGGCGCCGAGCCTTAGAGTTAGAGGTAGACTGCCCAGGAAGCCGGCCCTGCCTGGGCCACTGGGTGGTAGCTGTTCCCCGACCACTGGAGCCGGTTCCATCTTTCTTGGACCATTCTACCCCAGTTCCAAGCATACACAGGCTGCGTGTTCTTCATTTACAAGGCATATTCTTTACCACCACTGCGGCTGAAAGTTGGGCCCCAAACGCCAACAATTTAAAAAAGTGGGTCTCGAGCCTTGTCTTACTGAGAGAGACTGAGAGAACTTAAGAAGTCACTCATCTGTTGGGCACGAGGTGCATCTCTGGAATCCCACCAGCTCGGGAGGCTGAGGCAGGAGGATCATAAGTTCAAACCAGCCTCAGCAAGACCAACAGCTGCTAAGAGGTGGAGGTGCTCCATTTACTTTCAAAGCATATAAGCCTCAGACCAGCAGCAGGAGAGGATCACCCAGGGATTCCCGGGCTCCCTCCCAGCCTTCCAGAACCAGCATCTTCAGGTGGGGCATCTTCACGGAGACTGGGTAGGTGGTTGCTGGTTGCTGGGTGGAGGGGAAGATGACCACCACTGCTGCCTCTCTGTGTCCCCATGTCACATGCAGTGCCTGCATGAAGCTTCCCTGCCTCTTCTGCCGCCACTTGGGCTCCTCCTTCCTTGGCCTGTGGCTCTCACTAGCTCCACGGATGCCAGCGAGGAAGGATGGTGGACCGGCTTGGAGGGGCAGGGGCGTGGTCGGTCAGCTGCCCTGCAGAGCTGGGGCTGGCACATCCTCATTTCAGGGTTACCCCCACCTGACCTTCCTCCTGGGGGGACAGGGCCATGAATCCTGCTCCCCAAAGCCCCCGAGAGGCCCCTCCCTGCCGAGGCTGGCCCAGGCACCCTCTGGCCATCCTGCTGCCCCCCGACAGCTGGGATGTCATCAGAGTCTCACCTAGGGTTGTAGCTTCTAGAGGGTTCTGGAGGGTGGGCCAGGCTGGCTTTGTGGACCTGTGACCATCCGTCACCCTGGGCCCCTGCTCTGGCCCCGTGCTCTGGCTGACACCCTCTGTCCCCCTCCAGGGATTGTGCTTCGCCTTGTGTGGGGCACTGAGGCCAGGTCAGCTTTCCCCAGGGCAGAAACGGAGTCACTGAAGCCAGACATCAGGAGCAGGGACATGAAATGTCCCCCGAGGTGTGTCTTCAGTCACCCACACTCTTGCCAGGCTCTGATCTAGGTGCCGACAGACAGCGGTGAGCCGAACAGCAGAGCCCTTGCCCCCGGGGCTGGCTTCCTCCCTTTCCACACGGGGAGCCCTACTTGACCACAGGAAGGGGGGACAGAGCAGTGGGGTGGCCCCCAGGACCCACTTCCATCAACGGCCCCCCTCCTAGAGTTTCCCTCCTCCCAGCAGTCCAGCAGTTCACTCAGCCCGGAAGCCATCGTGGGCCAGCCAGGGGTGAGGGTGGGGCCCTCGAGAGCCCATCACGTCCCAAAGCCCGACCTCGGGACACGGTCGCACTGGAGAACAAGCCTTCAGTAAGGAGCTTTGGGGTCCCAAGTGCAGCAGGGTGGGGGGG